ATTGCGATCTCAATAATAAAAAGTTCTCTTATTAGTACGCGTTTTCTTTTTAAGACGTCGACTGGCAGTTATTTCTCTACCATTCATTGCTTTCAACTGGGCCATTAAAAATATATCTTGTTTAGATCTAGAGAGAGCTTAAAACACCTCACGTAATTCAGCAAACTTTTTTCTCGGAATCATTTTTGAGCAACCACAAGCGCAACCAATGTATAAGAAACGCATGGCTTTTTCGTATTCGGTGGAACCGTTATAATTGTAATTTTCCATATACGGGTATTCCTAATTTTATTACTTCACAACATATCAAGGCGCTAGTTTTGATAATTAATGTGCGCTAAATTTCACGGTGATCACATTGCTCGTTATGTCAATATTCGCATTAATTGTGGGTGTGGTCGGTGACTTCTGAGACGGGGCTGTACTATGCTATTGGCATTCAAATCACATTTGTTGCTTTGTGTAAGTCTGAAAATAAGGGAACGTTTGTTCTAAACGGATTGCAGAATTTGGTTTAGGGCGTTTATCAGATAGAATTCAGAGGATGAATTTACACTGGAATAAGGGGTAACAACCTTTTAGAGAAACCAAGCAGCACAAAAGCAAAGCCAATGCAAGTATCATTCCTATAAGAAAGCAAGCTCTACCCTTTATAAATTCTATTTATACATGACTCAATTCGACTGGTGCAGTTTCTTTGTATAATTCTGGAATTTATAATGCTTTAGATAGAAAGTAATGATAGTGCAGGTTGCAAACTATATATTTAAGATAGTGAGTAAAGTACTGCCTCTATACTGTTTTGCCATTATGTAATTAATGCTTTAATTTTTCAAATACCATCTGAGCATTTGGCTTATTCTGCAACCAATATTATTGCAATACATAATATAATTGAGAAAGTAATATTCAAATTCGGGAAACAGGTTAACTAGTATATGATGAAAGCCATTGTAGTGCTTCCTCAGCAGTTGGTCTTCCTTGAGGATTATCATGCATTAATATTCTAGCATACTTATCAAGTTCAGAATCTCTGCTTCTAATTGATGTAATCAAATAGCCTACTGACCACATGTCAACACTCTTGTCATGAGAACCTAATTGCATCTCAGGTGCATGATTATGTACAGTCATTTTTGTGTATGCAGTAGCTGAAGGAGATTGGCAGGCATCATCAAAATTAATAAGAAACCATTCCTGGCAATCTGTATGCTTCATTACATTTTCCCATTGTACATCACGATGCATTAAATACATGCTATGAAGGGCCTGATGCAATGTTTTAATATTGTGAGTGATTAGTTATACATTTGTCAAATGTGTATAAAGAAGAATTTACCTTCAAAGCTGACAAAACACAGACCAATGCTTCAATTAACTCTTTAATGGAAGAGGGCATGCATTTTTGACCCTTTGGTTCAAACAATAGTTTGTGAGACTGAACACTGATTACATGATCAATGAAAGGCACTTGCCCTTCCATCTGCTGATAAAGATTCCAAAGATTTTTGACCACCTCACTGGAATCATAGTGTTTCATCACTGTTGTTTGCAAAAACTCAATGCATTTCCCATTCTGTCAATGAATAATTAGGAACTCTTCCTGAAAAGATGCTGGTGTATACTTCCTGAGTAGTGGTAACAATCAGCCAATATTTCTTCCAGTATTAAAGGCCTCTATGCAGCCTTCAAGTGTGTCCAAATTGTATGTGTCCAGGTCTACCCTGTGCAAAGTGTCATTCTCATGATAAACATAACAAAATGTCACCATAATAATAATGTCATTTGTGTAATATCCAAATATGTATGGACAACTACCATACATCCATTGTAGTTTGTCTGTTAGCTCTGCAGCTGGATCAGCAGTATTTCCTGGTCCCTTTTCTTCACCTCTTGCAAGGCATGCATACTTGACTAAACATGACACATCAGGCCTTAGGTTCTTGGTAGAGGTGTGATTACTACTGTTTCTGTTCCACTGTAGTTCAGGGCAACCAAGTCTGATTGGCAAGACTATTAAACTGTCCCAAAATGAATGGAATGAATCTTCTGTTGTAGCATATGCTGGTGGTTCAGCAATTTGATTAAGGTAAGCACTCCAGAACCTTGCACAATATGTGTCTGATTTGACAAAAAATTCGTCAAGAAAGTCAGGAGAACATTGTCCTGTAAAAGACTGCTCATAGTTAGCAAGCGGAATGGGTATTTTTTCGTCCGGTCTTTGTCGTAAAAACCGCAGCAAGTCAGCACGGGAAGGCAGAAAATTTGGCTGTGCTCGAAGCGACCTGGTGATTGCAAAAAACAGCTCATCTGCGCTGATTGCGTTAGTTAAGTAGATAAAAATTCAAAAAAATTCCACAACCATTCAGCTTACCATCTTTTTCCTTTAAAAAAGCTGCACCGCGCTCTAAATAATAAGAAAACCTGTGAGCACATATCGCCATGTCTACTCTACCCTATGTACACACTACTCTATGTCCCCAACGCCCGAGTCACAAAGAATAATCAATGCGCAGAAATTGCCAAGCACATTCTATCTCGATAACAGCACGTAAAGTCACTCGCACCACACGTAATAACAGTTGTATGTAAAAAATAAAAACTTCTTTACTTGAACAGAGCCAAGACAACAATCTCCATCAACAAACGTCATTCTTGTGATTTTA